GAAGTTTTTTTGTTTTGTTTTGTTTTGTTTTGTTTTAACTAGGAAATTGAAAGAAAGCATTTGTTTTCATCTTTGTTTTTTTGCTACATGGATTACTTATATGTCACCTTTGACAATTTTGAAAGTAGTCATCCACACTTACATCTATCATTAGTAATCAGATCTTTAAGAAATGTATGTATATAATTATTGCACAGAAATATATTAAAGGTTTGCTGGGAATGAGTTGGATTTCCTCATATCACTCAAGCCACACACTAAGAAATTACTGCTGCTGCCCACTCATAACACTGATTCTCCCAAGCAAGCAGGAGAAACAATGTTCTATTTTAAACACACAGCTCTTGCAGACATGGTGATGCATACCTCTAATCCCAGCACTTGGAAGGCACCAGCCTGGGATGGTCTCCATAGCGAGTTCCAGGTCAGCTGGGGCTATGTAGTGAGACCCTACCTCAAGAAACACCCCCAAAATACATCAGTTTGTTTTTGTTTCCTAAAAGAAGTATATTTGCCTATAATTCCAGCATTTAAGAGGTTGAGTCAGACAGGAGAATTATGAGGTCAAGTTCAGCCCTGGCTACTTAACAAGACCTTGCCTCAGAAAGAAAAGGAAGAAAAAAGAGGGAAAACAAAAGGAAGAAAAAAAAAAGAAAGAAGGCAACTTAAAAATACTTGTAAGCATATAAAGGAAAGAAAAACTATTCAAAGACCACACCACCTGACTAAGACAGCGAACTACTGAATATCTGATAATCTGATAAAGAATTTGGGTTTCAAAAATGTGAAGGTGATTGAAATCTCACATTTCCACAGATGACTAAGTATGAAAAAATATAGATTTACTGGAGAACAGGGCCAAAAGGATGATGAAGGGACAGGGATCTGTGAAGAGCAGATTCAGGGGAGAGGAGACCAGCGGCAGACAGTATTTCAGTATTTCCCCATACAAAAAGCTACAGTTCCACCTGAGACCCATTTTGGGGCTACTGAGGTAGCTAGAAATCAGTGAAAGAAATCTAAAAACAGTGGCATATTCTGCCCCCCAAACCTATATCTAAGCAGCCCTCAAATTCCTGACCAATTTGACAAGTCTGCATGTGTAGACGCCAAAGCCCAGAGGAAGGATCACTGCAGAGGAAGTAGATCTCATCAGCTCTCTTCCCCTTGGGGGGCATTTAGGGTTGAATCCCACCTAACTTAGTGTATATAGGTTACTATGACAAAACACCACAAGCCAGGAGAGTTTCATGTTTCTCAGTTCTGGAGATTGCAACATCCAGGATGAAGGCACTGATAGATTCAGTGTCTACTGAGGGCCTGTGTTCTGATTCCCAGACAGCCATTTTCTTGTAGCCTACAGAGAAGGCTTCATTTTATTTTGGTGAGGATAGGGAACACGTGATGCTCTTATACATTACTGCGGGAAGGGTTAGATACATAGTGCATTGCTTTGGAAAGCTACCAATTTTCAAATTCCATTTCCACGTGGAGGACCACACACAAAAAAAAGAAGAAAGAAAGAAAGAAAGAAAGAAAGAAAGAAAGAAAGAAAGAAAGAAAGAAAGAAAGAAAGAAAGAAAGGAAGGAAGGAAGGAAGGAAGGAAGGAAGGAAGGAAGGAAGGAAGGAAGGAAGGAAGTTTAAGCTCCATTGTTCATTCCTCTCTCCCTCATACATTATTAAGAAATCCCATTGAGTCTATTGTCAAAAACTAGCGCTGATTAACTGTTTCCCATCTTCCCAGAGTTACAACCCTACACTATCACTGCTATTTCTCCCAAAGAATGCTATGATGGCTTCTGCGGTTGACAGTCGCACCAGTCTTCTTGCCAATAGGGGAAAAGAATTTTAGAGAAGAAAATCAAAGTGGCCTGGGAGCAGTGACCTGCTCCAGTCATTGAGGATGACTTCAGTTAGGCAGTTCAGACAAGCCTGGGCAGCAAAGTGATCCAGTCCCAAATACATAAATAAATAAAAATGTTATGGGGTGGGGATAAGGAGAGGATGGGAAAAAAGTAAACTGATAAGTAGAAAAGGGCAATAAATGATCTGAGTTGATTTTTACCTTGTCCACCCCCCCCCACTTTTGCCGATTCTATAAGCACTATTGAAAATTGACTTTGGAACATACAGTATTCCTAGAATATGTTGTATTACAAAATTTTTCAGATATAACTGTCCAAAGGATAAGAAGAGAATGAGAGCAAAATACACACACACACACACACACACACACACACACACACACATTTTCCTTAAATAGTAGTTGATGATGAGGCAAACCACTGGTCGACATTTTTAATCAGGCCTGGATATAAACATGTTTTCTAAGCAAGGAGGTATATACAGAAACTCTTAAACAAACGCAAGGTAAAATAGCAAAAATAATTGAAGTAGATATGAAAGGTATAAAATTCTATCATACAAAAGTCATAATGAGGGCTGGGGATGTAGTTCAGTGGTGAGGTGCTTACCTAACACACATAAGGCCCTGGGTTTGCAAAGAAAAAATAAGTCATAAAAAGAAACTTAAAAGAAAACAAGGTATTAAAGAAACTCAAGGACAACTGAACTCTCTCAAAAGTAAGCAAACAGAAATTGAGATTTAAAAAATGAAAAATAGTGAAGCTTTTGCTGTGAGTATGGCTCCTTGGTAGAGTGTTTGCCTAGTATGCCCAAGGCCCTGAGTTTGACATGCACATCCCTTCCCCTATCCCACACATACACAAAGTAGAAAAATAGTTGAAGAATTCAAGCTTTATTCAGGCATCAGATTAGCAAAATTAAAATGAACTATTAGTATCAGTAGCATGTAAGGAAACAGGGACTTAATTGTCCATCAATAGCAACAGTTTCACAAATATTACATTTGCATTATTCCTATATATTTTCACAAGATTCTGTGTGAGAGAGACAGAAAGAGAGAGAAGAAACAGAGAGACAGAGACAGAGACAGAGAAACATCTAGGGAGACAGAGTCAGAGTCAGAGACAGAGATGTTCTATCTGAAGATTATAAATGATGTTTTTATAAGCTGCCCTAATTTCTACATCTCCAAAACATACTATAAAGTGGGAAAAGCAAGTTACAACAAGGTATAAAAAGTGTCAAGAATATCTTTTTTTAGCATGGTTCCCCTTTTACAGGTGTCGTAAGACAGGAATGTTTTTCCTATAGTGGTAGAACAAACTGTCCAAACAAAAAAACAGTATCAATAAAAATATGGCTATATTGTGGATCAAGTTATCTTTTACACACTGAGATACACTATATCAAACTTCCCTAGAATGCAATGCCCTCTAGACCTGTATTAGTTTTCCTGGTATGAAGGAATTGACAGTTGATGGCGTGAATACCTCCGCAAATAATTTGTAATATGCTGAGGATTGGACTATTCTTAGAACGCTGAGGAGAAAGCCTACCTTCCCCTTGTCCTCCCAAGTTCCACACTCTAATCCCAATCACCCTCAGTGATCTAGAATGAGCTAGTCAGCTTGCCTGTGCTTGCTCTGCATGTAAATCAAGACTAGGACAAACAGCCTTCTTGTCTACTACCTCTTTTACAAGACATGCCAACAAGTGCAACTTTGCTGGCGCTGGCTGACAAAACACACAGAAGGTGGAATCAGGAGAGACTCACATACACCTGGAGTTGAAAAGACCCAATCATCTTGTGCTCTAAACAGCATGACTATTAGAGAAAACAACGTAAGAGAGGGAATATCACATTCCAGAAAGTTCTCTGAAAACTCACATGTAAGGAAATGCAAATACTATTCTCTAGAATATTTATCCATGGACATTCTAGAAATGTTCACAAATATTTGTGTGCAGTACAATTGTGTGATTTTCCCAAAAAGCATTGAGAAAATACTTATGTCACACATACTTAGTAGAGTTTCTTTAATACCTTGTTTTCTTTTAAGTTTCTTTTTATGACTTATTTTTTCTTTGCAAACCCAGGGCCTTATGTGTGTTAGGTAAGCACCTCACCACTGAACTACATCCCCAGCCCTCATTATGACTTTTGTATGATAGAATTTTATACCTTTCATATCTACTTTCATATCTATGTACATAGTTTTAAGTTTTTTTCACATGGCTTTATTGTATAGCTCTGGCTGGCTTGGAACTCACTATGTAGACCAGGCTGGCCCAGAACTTACAGAGATCCACCTGCCTCTGCCTCTAGAGTGCTAGGATTAAAGGCCTTCATGATCATGCTTAGCCTTGATAGTTACTTTAAATAGTAATTACTATTCTCCCCAAACCTATCTACCTGGATTTCAAAAGATATGAAAATTGTATGTGTGTGGAAAAGATAAGACACCAATAGAAAGAAAAAATAAAGTCAAAGTGAGTGATGTACTTGAATTTCTCTACTTCTACCTTTCAGATAGTGATGCACATTTTTTTGAGTTTTGCTATTGTTAGTATTTATTTGCTGTCCTGAAAAAATAAGAGAACAAATGCATAAATACTATTAACTCATTTGTTCCTCACGAAAGTCCCATCATAGGTAAGTTCTGTTATTTTTTCAGATGAGGCATAATGAGGTAAACTGAGGCACAAACACTACCCAAACTACTCTTCACGTCATATATCAGCATTTTCTTGGACTCATTCTATTAGAAGTGAATGAAATTTAAGAAAATTCCCTTCCTGAAGTGCAATTCCCTTCCTGGGAATTCTGGGCCACAAAGCATCCATGGAACAGCATGAAGGCCAAGCTGGAGACAAAACGCAAAATGCAAACCTGGGGACTGTCACAACCTGAGCACCACCGCAAGTCAAATTGGGCCCCAAAGCTTTAATAGGTACGTGTACGTGCAGAGAAGTGGAAGGAGGCTTTGGAGCCTTTGTTAGGGCGCCCGCTCCCGCCGGAAGCCTGTGGCCAGCAGCAAGCCTTGCCCCCGCTGGCCATCGGGAAGGCGCGTTCACAGGGTCGCGCGACCTCGGGCTCGCGCATGCGTGCCAGACAGACCTATCTGGGGCTTACCTGGCGCGTCGGGGCATCAGATAGACTAAGGCCAGGAGCAGCAGGGCGGCGGCAAGGAGCTCGCCAGAGACGGGGAAACCTTGCGGCAAGCGCGACGGCTGGGACACATCTTGGGGGGACTCGGTTCCCGCCATCAGGACCCGCGGTCGGTCCCTGCGGCGGTGGCTCTGCGCGGACCTTCTGCGCTGCTCTCCCTCTCCTGACCGGAGGCGCTGGCCTGCTTGCTGAGCGGAGCGGAATGTCACCGCGGGTCCCAGACGCCGAGCCACTAAGTTAAAGGAGTCCCCTCCCCCGGACCCGAGCGCACCGCCCCCCTCCCCCGGCCCCTCCCTCCAGCCCAACCTGGAAAGCTACTTGTTTGCTCTTGGTGCAGGAACTGGGCCAAGGAAGATGGACTGGATTAAGACTTCCCAAGAAGCCCCGGGGCCTGGAGGAGGTGGGGGTTGCTTCTGAGTCAGCAGGGAACCCGCAGGAGAGAACCCTGCCTGTTGCCTGCTCCCTTCCGCTCAGTGAGGCTTGGGACTGGACACAGGAGGCAAGGGTCATCTCAGGCATAACCCTGGAAACTGGGCTGGTGGCAGACACCTGTGGAATGCAGTGCCCCCCTCCTTCACCCCCAACATCCTATTTGCATATATGTTTATGTTAAATGCGGTGCCCCCGCTTCCACATGTTTTTGTTGATTTGCCTACTATGTGCAAAGGTAAAATACCAGAAGCAGTTACAAGGAAGCCACGTGGTGATCTTTCAGAGCCCCTGTTGCAGTGCACCATCAGAAAGAGTGCACAGATTAAAGCATGTGATGGCCAAAAGCTTTTTTGCGCTGACAAAGAAAGAAACTTTAAAAGGAGATAGCTCAGTGGACAAAGGTTTGTGTCAAAGCTCGAGGACAGGAATTCAAATATGATAAAATCCATAAAACCTGGACTGGTGTGGTAGCCACCACCTGTAATCCCAGTATTCAAGAGAGCAGAGACAGGTGATCCCTGTCTGACTAACCAAACACACTGAATGGGTGAGCTCCAGGTTCAGTGAGAGGCCCTGTCTCAGCAGGTAAAATGAGACAGATTGAGGGAGACGAACGAAGTCAACCAGGCCCCCACATGCATGTACACACTCACACACACACACACACACACACACACAGAGTTTCCTGAGTAATGACCATCCAGCAGGTATTTTCACATGTCAACTTCCCTCCCCAAACTTGTGGCGTAAGTTTTAGCAGTATTTCATAAAAAATGTAATGATATTCAAGTTGTCATGGTGACTCAGTTGATGGGTGAATACAGTCTAACCAACTCTATTCCAAAACCTCCTTATCCATTCCATTAGGAAGGTATTATCACCATCCCACTCCCACCCCATACTGGGACTCTTAGAGAAGCTTCAAAACTGGTCTCCATGGCTCTTATCTTTAATAAAGACACACTTTACCCAGTTCAAAACTCTGCAATAAACACTCCATGAGCACTAAGTAGCCCACCACAATTTGTCTCCAGAATACAACTTACCTGGGAATTACAGTTCCCTGCACACTAAAGCCTGAGTCATTTTCTTCTCCACATTCTACCCACACATGCCTTTGAAAAAAAAAAAAAAAAAAAAAAAAAAAAAAAAAAAAAAAAAAAGTGTTTTCTCCTCTAAATACATTATTCCTGCTTTTGGAATTAAAAGTCAGCATTAATATTTTGTGTACTCTGGACACGTTAATTGGTGTTGTACCCCATCCACTGGACCCCAAAGAGACCACCGAGTACCCAACACACCAAAATGCAAAAGCAAAGGTTTATGGTTTATTCGGGCTTAAGCTCGGGCTCCCAGACCTCACCAACTCACCGTTTGGGGGGAGATACCGAAGATACATTTTGGTTGGTTCAAGGAGCCCGCGCGCGCCAACATAATTTTAAACCGATTGGATGTGTAAGAGGCAGCCCTGGAAGTTTCTTATTGGTAGGTGCTATTCTCAGGGCTGTGGAATGTGCTGTTACCTGTGGGGCCAGGAGTCTCTTTTTTTACCTTATAGGGCAGTTTTTATGCTCGGGGTTGGTTAATCTATAGTTTCCTGGAAGGGGGGGGGAGAATAGCAGGTGGGAGTCAGGGCATGCCAGGGTATGTCTAGACATGTCTAAAGCAGCAGCCAAGCATTTTACAGAAGCTAAAAGAGCAATTAGTGGGGGTCTGGAGGGATTGGGGGGTAGCGGGTGAATGAAGAGGGTCTCAGGGTTCTACATTCCCCCCTTGTCTTGTAACTGGGGAACCTAATCATGGGTTCTGGTCGGCCAGCTCACAGGTATCTGGGGGGATTGTGCTAAGGGGCATATAGACTTGTTGCCTCTGAACCATAAGTTGGACGGTGCCTAACCTGTCCTTTGAGGGTTGTCAACCAGGGAGATTGGTTGAACCAGGACTCAAACCATCCCTGTCTGGCCTCTCGTTCTAGTCTCCTCTGTTCCAACCCTTCTCTTGTTTTGGCCATGTTATCCTTTATTAATCCTGATAGGTCCCTATAAAAACAGCATTCTTCTCTTAGGGTGGCAAACAGGAGGTCTAATCCCCTATGATTTTGCAGGGCTAGCTCAGCCAGCGAGCTCAGGGAGTCTTGTAGGTGAGTAATTGACTCCTCAACTTGTCGGAGGTCTGAATCTAAGCTGGCTCTGAGCTGGGAATAATGCTGATCTTGTCTTGCCAAGGCTGTGGCTCCTGTCCCTATACGAGCAGCAATCCCTGTCCCAATGAGGAGACTTAAAGTTACTGCGGTTATTGGCTCCCTTCTAAGTCTAGTGAGGCTGGTAGTTCTTGGGCCTTTTAGACTAGTATAGAGGGTTAAGAAATCTTCATGAGTGTGGTAGGTGATTCTAGGCAGGAGTCTGATAACACAGAAACCAGATGTTCTCTGCAGGACTTCCCGATTTACACAGGCTGTTAGTCCCGTGGTGCAGGCCCACCAGGTGTCATTGTGAGGCAGGAGGAACTGCCCCCTCCCTGTGACATTAAGGGGGAGGATGGTGTTGCAGAGGCTAGTATAGGTCAGTGGGACCTGGCCAACACAGGTCCCAATGCCAGTTACCTGAGATAGGGTAAGAGAAACATTTGATAGCCAGCTGCATTCTGTGTAATCCATGAGGGAGAACGTTCCTTGTATAGCAATTCCCTCATAATATGGGGGGGGTAACACCATAGCAGAGCCAGCAAGAGCCGGTAGCGTTTGAGTTGGTTGCATTGAGGAAATAATAAGATGAATTTAGCATCTGCAAAAATTCCCAGGTTGGGGTAGTGGCAGGAGGGGGAGGAATAGGATCTGCCATTGAGGACTCAGGAGCCTGAGTTGTTGGCACAGGAGCAGAGGTTTGGGCAGTGGGAGGTCTGGGAGGGGGTTTAGCTGGAGAAGATTTATGAAAATCATTTGGGGGGGGATTTAGGACTTGGTTGGGTCCCAATGTATGGATGACCGGTCGGAGGAGGAGTTGAACAATAAAGTTGAACAGGTCTCT